TTATTGAAATTATTGATATTATTGCTATTATTCTATTGAAGAGTGAGCCTGTTGCTAATGACTTGGTCCAGTGTTAATATTGTATTTTATTTGTTTCGTTATTATTATTATTATTTTTTTTTTTTGTTGTTCACGCCGCGTGTCGTACAAACACGTTCCGTACCTATGAATGCAGAGTTCGGTTTTTTTGCGCGCTCTTTAGAAGGGGAAAAAACAGAAGAAAACAGTATAATCCGTCGCGAATTATATATATATATATTGTAACAACGAGGGGAAATGGTGGTGCACGCGAATCTCACCGATGACCTGTCCCGCGTGCGCCAGTTCGGTGTCTCGCGTCGACGAATATTTTTTCGTATATATGTTTTTCTTTTCTTCTCGCGTTTCTCTTCGGGAACTGTTCGTGGATCGGAGGTTCGCGCGGCAAACCTTCGATTCCGAATAGCAGGCAGTACCTCTAACACCGTCACGCGTCGCGAGGAATCGAGGATTGGAGAAAAAAAAGAACGCCCGCGTGGGTGACGACAACCAGAGGGCGACGAACGATATTGAGAGTAAGACGGAAACGTAAGAAACGAAAGAAAAAAAAAGATAGAATGCAAAAGGAAGAAACACGAAGCCTATATTACTCGTCAGGTGCGAAGGATGCGTTCTCCACACTTTTAAATTAAGCTCAAGTATTACGTTCGTGTAGCGTCAACTCAAATGTTACTTCATTCCATGTAATATACGTAATAGTCTAACTAAAAAAAAAAAAAAAATACCTACTTATTACATCTACGTAACCTAGAGCACCGTACGCGTAAGGTCGTATAATTATATAATTTAAATTGTAATTATTAAATGGTATGACGTACAGAAGCACACGACTCTCGTTCAATCATTACCTGTATACTCCACGTATAGCAACGGTGCCGGTGAAAAGTTTCTTATCGCACGAGAATTTCGGGAGAAAAGGGGTCGGAAATTTTGAGAATTTTCTTAAGAATCTCTTACGCAGATTTGTCAATGGCCCCTGCAGCCTCAGTTTCAAGTCTATGAAAAATCAGTAATAAATTTCACGTCGACGAAAATTGACAGGTGATTCGAAACTTTCGGCTGGTACTCGTATCCGACACTGAAGCTCTCCGAAAATCGTATTTCTAAGAAATTGTGCGAAATCTTCCGAAATATCGAAACGAATGCAGCAGCATCGACGCTCAGAGAAATTGTCACGATGGAAGAAAATTGTGTCTTCGTATTTCCGAGAAATAATTCCAGGAGACTAAATTCAGCGTTAAAGCTTGAAATAAATATCGGGAGAGAAGTGGTTTCTCCTCCAACGCGGTAAATGTTGCGCACTACCAGATATATCAGCCGTCTCTCCGCCTGGCCGATAAAGCTGATCGTGAATTGCCGGTTTAATCGTCGGAATAACACGAACGCAACGCATAAAAATCGTGTTAATTACTGGGTTGCTCGTAAAACGATAATTGTTATGTTTACAATTACGATCGATACGGGTAGGGACCGTGGTCTGTGTAGCGTGGTCGTTTTTCAAATTCCACGATGCGATAACGTAGCGAGGAGTGGAAAGATCGAGCGATGCCCGGGTTACAGGGGTTATCTCTGGTGCGCGCGTGTGCACAGTGGATTTTTCACTCGGCGGTGTTCCGAAAACCGTCCACCCGTCCAACTAATTGGCCACGCTCCACGTTTGACGAGTTGTTTAATTTCAATCGGCGCGGGAACACACGTGGGGGGCTCCCTCCCAACGTCCTCGCCCTCGTAAGAAGGCGCTCGCTCTTCTCTCGCGAATTATCCGTAATTATCGATAATAAGGCTGCGGCTGATTATATTTCACCGCATCAGAAAATAATAGTTCCTCCCGTTGAACATTGAAAGATAACGAGCGGCAACCGGCGTGGAATAATTGCCTTCTCTTAATAAGAGATCGCGGCGATTACCGTAATCGCGTGTATCCGATCGGTGGCCGATTCTTGCTCCGGGAGCAACTTCATTTCCAGCTGCTACCTGCTTCCCTCCACTTGTTATTTATTAAATTTCGATAAGAAGAAAACACTCGATGTTCTTAAATCTTAATTCCCCCCCAACGGAAAGAAAAAGAAGGAACCCTTGCTCGTCACTTCTTTCTTTTTCTCGCTCTTTCTTGAA